TTTCAGCCTCTCATTTTTCACTGCCTCGCTTACTGTGAGGAAGCATTGGCATGAAAGGTTTAGATCGAAGCAAGTAAGTTATCTCAGCAAAGTCCTAGAGGTAATGGGCAGTAATCCTGTCTGTGTCAGTAGCTTGAGGTCTAAGGGGAACCATGCTCTCTGCTTCGCGTGGCGTGTGCTTACTAAAATGAAACTGTGACCCTCCGGTGTTTTCTAAAGTATGTTCCATGGGATGCTAGTTCCTCGAGAAGATTTGCAAAAAGCAGTTTGTCAGGCAGCTAAGTTTGAGAAAATTGTATTCCCCTCTTTCAGAGATGTGCACAGTGCACATTAGCCCAGTAAAGGCTTTGAGAAGTTGACATGGTTAAGAAATATGCATGGTGTATTTCATCCCGGTGTTTCCAAGTTGTTCTTGACTGCATGGCTTTTTTTCCCTCTTCGGGTTTTACATAACACTTAACAACATCCCAAAGAACACACTTTGGGAACTCTTTCACAAACTAATAAGCTTACTTTCAGGCCCTGAGACTTTGTTTGAACTTACTATCTATTGGTCTCAAAGGAATGATTTGTTTACAAGGCGAGAAAATGTTTAATTTTATAAACTGAAGTATTTGATTAGCATCTATGGAAATACATTGCAGAAAGTGTTTCAGCCTTTGATTAACTTGGGGAAGTCAGTTTTCTGCTCTGTTAAAAGGCTGGGCTGACTAAAGAGATCTCTAATGCCTCTTCCAGTTAAAATATGAAAAAAAACTCTAACATGATTGAATGAATATAAATGTTATGTCCAAAATATTGTACAGTTTTCTTTAGCGTTTAGCTTTTTACCTCTGTAAAGGAAAAGCTTTTGTTTTGGGGGTTTATGCTCTGTGTTGATTTGAAAAGACATATCACTTTATAGGGGCTGAGAGAAGTTTTCATTTTCATTCAATGTATCAGTTAAAATGAGATTCTCTACATAAAAGAGAAGAATGTAAGATAATAGTGGATTAAACAAGATAAAAGCTTACATTTCTCACACGCAGGTTGAAGAGAGGCAGCCTCTGGCTGGTCTGGCAGCTTCGCAAATTGTCAGGGTCCCAGGTTCCTTTTATTACCACCCACCATCCTTAAGGCGTGGCCCTCATCCTCACAGCTCAAGGGAGCAGCATGGAAGTGGGGAAGGGGTGCCCCACTCCTTCTGAGGACACTCCTGCGTGGTGCCACATGACACTTCCACTTATGTCTCATTGGCCAGAACGTAGTCACCCACAAGCTTCAGTGAAGGCTGGAGGTGTCATCTTTTCATCTGGAGGCTGGTGAGCTCAGCTAAGATCAGGGCTCTTTTACTAAAGAAGATGAATATTAGGAGGTAGATAGCAGTTGGAATTTTTAAAAACTGTTGATTTTTCTCTTTTGTCCTTTCTTTCATCACAGACGGTTGGTGTCTTCTATTACTAGGTCCACAGGAGTTAGGGGCAACAGCAAAACTCAGCTCTTCCAGTCTTGCTATTTAAGGGAAAAGTAGGTAGACGCGTTGAATGCTGGAGTTTGGACTGAGAGTTAGCGAGTCCTCAGGATCCTGTCCTCAGGCTTCCCCACAGGGCAGCCACTCCAGCCCTTTCCAACTGCCCCTCCCCTGACTCTCCCCCTCCCTGGTTGTCTTACCTACGTTAAATGGCTTCTTACATTTAAATACTGTTTGTTTCATTTTTCCTTTCAATTCATCCCTATCTTTGCTTCTTTTCCAGATGGACCTAGATGAAGACATTGCTGAAAAGTTTTACCAGAACCTACTGGAACTGGAAAAGCGTATTAGGGTCACCATTCAAAAAACTGATACCCAGAGCTGACAGTGCCGCTCTCTGGAATGTTTCATGCCTTCTGTGGGTTCTGGAGCACATGGGTTTCCACTGGGTTGGATGACATGCATTTGTGGTAAATGGAACTATAATTTTCCCTTTTCCTTCATTTCAGAATCACCTCTAATACTGTATGTGTGTGTGCACATGGGAAAAAGATCGATAAAATATTCATTGGATATTCTTAAGAGTGGTGTCACATCAACATTGTGAGAGAGTCACTCAGCCGAGTATCTTTTTATTTGTTCTGACAACTGGAGCCCTACACTTCATGGGATTGTTACCAGACGGGTCGACCAGACCCATGCTGGGGTCCTAGTCCGGGCCGAGACCCCTTATGTCAGCCAGGCAGGTTCTTTTTCCCATCAGAATCACGCAGCCAATAACGAAGCCCACGCTGAGACCGGAAGAGCACAAGCTTTATTCAACAGCCAGAGTGGAGACGGGGGAACCTAGCTGACAAGTCAACTGCTCAACCCAACTTGGGAGGAGACACCAAGTATGTAGGAGGGTTGACGTGAAAGGGAGGGAACTGGAAAGTGTGGGAGGAATAGTCATGAGTTATCCCAGAACAGGGGTCTGGTTTGGACCTGGAACTGATGCAGCTCTCCTTTCCAGTCCTTGTGCAGACTTTTCCAGTTTTTGTCATGGCAGTCACCAGCTGTCATGCTGCTGGTGGGTGCATCATTTAGCATGCGAATGGAGTACAGTGAGTGTACCATGAGGCGCAAGGTCCACTGGAAACCAGATCTTCTGCCATCTTGGGTCTAGTTGGTTCTAAATGGTACTTTTTTTTTTCCCTCTTTGCAGTTTCGTCCTGAAACTTAGATGAGAGTGATTGGTTTCTATTTGAGGAAGGGGCAGGGTATGATCCTGGGACAATAGCCTTGGTAATAAATCTCCTCTTTCCTTTTTACTGTTCCTCATTTTTTTTAACAAATTTATTGTGGTATAACTTCTGTACAGTAAAGTATACATATTTTAGGTGTACAATTTGATGAATGAACTTTGATAGATCTATGCATCTATTAAACCACCACCACAATCAAGATACCTAATATTTTCATCACTCCCCAAGGGAGGATGTGCCCATGAGAGGGAGCTGCGAAAGAGGGAAGGTTCCCTCACCCTGGGAAATCAGAAAGGAGCTCCAGACCACAGAGGAGCAGAGACAGAGCAACTGTCCAGCAGTAGCAAAACAGAGAGAGCAGTATGGATGGTCCTGGCCACCTCACTACACTCCCCAGTCTGAGATGCACATTGAAGTATGTGAAGTGGCTGGGTGCTGAAACTCAGGCTTCAGGAGACTGACTTGGGGAGAGGACTGGGGTGTGGCACAGCCCACAACTGGGGGTGTACACAGGACACAGCCTGGGTCTGCTGTAGAAGTCCCATCGTTAACATCTGCACCAGGGGAGGGGTGGGTCCCCGCCACAGCAGTGTCCTTCTCTGCGCGCTCACTGTGGGTGCAGCTCTGCCTCTAGGAGCACTGGACGTGTACAGGCCCCGGCGGTTGCCCCCGTGTGCCCGTATGGAAGTGGGGCTGAGACCTGAGCCCTGTCAGTGGCTTTGTGACTTTAAAGGATTTATACAGTCAGTGTCTTTGTAAGATCAGCACATGCAGGACATCCCAGTGGATTTACTGGTGCCCATGAGGCCGAGGACAGTCTGGAGTCAGCAGCTGCAAGCTCTGTGGGCCTGTGAACAGGGAGGCAGGGCCAGGTCTGCCCTCATTTCATAGCTCCCAGGGTGAGCCCAGGTGTGCAACTATGAGCAACGACAGTGGATCTAGGAGCCTCATTTCAGGGGATCTGCAGTGGTGGCTTTGTCAGCACAGCACTGAGGGACATCAGGACATTGCCTGCACTCCCACGGCTGAGGCTGGGCCAAGGGCAGCAATTGTGGCCTTTGTGAGCTTGCACAGTGAGTGATAGGCAACACCACAGCGTACACATCCTAGCAGACAGCTCCTGTGGAGAAATACTCAGTGACTCCTCTCCCGGTGGAACTGATCCTGTCCTGCTCACCCCACACCACAGCTCAGAGGCAGGTCTAGAGACTCCTACGCCAACAAGTGGGGAGCAGACCCTGCCCCCAAAGGGCTATGACAGCCACAGAGCAAAGAGGTGGCCCCACGCAACATCCAGTGCAGGCTCTGATCACCACAGCACCCATCATCCTCCCTAGCAAGGGGATAAGGGTCAGCAAACACTGAGGAGAGATCTGTCAGGTATCCAAGCTAAAAATAGCCCTCACACCAAAAGTAGTGGACTTACACAGGCTACATTCCCACATAAAAATAGCCCTTCAAGGTCACAGTAGATAACTATTTCCCCAAAATCCATAGACTCAGGAATATAAGTAAAAAGAAGCAGAGGAACTACTCCCAATTAAAAAGAACAAGAGAAATCCCCTGAAAGAATAAACAATGAAAGACGTCTTCAGTCTACTGGATCCCCAAGTTCAAAAAGGAAGTAACAAAAATGCTGAAGGAATTTAGAAAGGCTATTGGTAGAAATGCAGATCATTGTAGAAAATATAAAGAGGAGACAATTAAAATTAGAAAACTCGTTTGTTGAGGTGAAATCTGAGCTAAAGGCAATCCATAGCGAAAAATAAAGCAGACGAACAAATAAGTGATCTGGAGGATAGAATAATGGAATCATCCAATCAGAATAGCAGACAGAAAAAAATGGAAGCAATATATGAGAGCTATTGGATAATATAAAGCAAGCCAATCAGTGCATAATAGGGAATCTCAGAAAGAGAAGAAAGGGAAAAGAGGATCGAAAATGTATTTGAAGAAATTATGGTTGAAAAATTCCCAAACCTTAAACAGATATCCAGATTCAGGAAGCACAGAGGGTCCCAAACAAGATGAACCCAAACAGACCTACACCAAGACATAATTATAATTAAAATGGCCAAAGTTAAAAGAGAATTCTAAGGGCAGGAAGAGGAAAAAAGTTAATTACGAGGGAACCCCCATAAGGCTATCAGCTTATTTCTCCACAGAAACATGGCCAGAAGAGAGTGGAAAGGTATGTTCAAAGTCTTGAGAGGGGGAAAATTTGCAATCTAGGATACTTAGCAAGATTATCATTTAGAATAGGATGAGACAAGCAAAAACTAAAATAATACAGCAATACTAAACCTATCCTAAAAGACATATTAAAAGGTTTTCTTTAAATAGAGACGAGGCAAGAATCTATAGGAAACAGGAAATCACAATTGAAAAATTAAATCACTTAAGTAAGCCAGCACATAGATTGAAAAAGAAATTGTGAGAGTGATGATAACTGCAAAGAACAGCACAAGGATAAACATGAAGGTGTAAATAGGACATCAAAATCAAAATGTGGTTGGGGGGGTAAGAAACATGTAGAATTTTTTTAGAATGTGTTTGAGCTTATATGACTACCAGTCTAATGCAAGTAGGTATAGTAATTGTTAACATACTTTCAAGTTAACATACTCAAAAACTAAGGTAAACACAAATTTAAAAAAATACAATAGATTCACAAAAACCCAAAACTAGAGAACTCAAGCTAATACAAAGTAAAACCATCAAACCACAAAAGGAAAAACAAACAAAAACAAAACAAACAAGAGAAAGGAACAAAGAAGAAATAGGAGATCAACTGGAAAACAAGGTTTAAAATGACAATAAATAGGGAGGTTCCAGTCAAGACGGCAGAGTAGTAGGACCATGAGCTGGCCTTTCCTCACAACTACAACAAAACCACAACTGACTGCTAAAAAACTGTCAAAAAAAAGGAGACTGGAACGTAGCAAAAAAGATGTTCTTTAACTGGAAACAGAGGGAACCAGAGCGGGATGGTAGAAGGGGGCCCCATTACCCCCTGGGGGGGGCAGTACACAAGCTGAAGAATAATTTAGTCAGCGTCTCCCCCAGAGTGAGAGTTCTGAGCCCCACATCAGGCTCCCCAGCCTAGGATTCTGTCCCTGGGAGCAGGAGGCCCCATGATATCTGGTTTTAAAGGCCAGTGGGGCTTAACTCCAGGAGCCCCACAGGACTGGGGGGAAACAGAGACTTCATTCTTTTGGGATGTGCACACAGAATCTCCTATGTGCCAGGTCCAAGGGTTTGTATGCAGTGACTGCATACAAACCTGGGCCAGGCATGCCTGCTGGTTTTGGAAGCTCTCCTGGGAATGTACGGGACAGCTGTGGCTCACCCAGGAGACATAAAAGCTGGTGGCAGACATTCCAGGAGTGTTCATCTACATGAGCTTTCCTGGAGGCTGACATCTTGATTGGATCATTAGCACCAAGACCAAGGCCCACCCAACAGCCTGTGGGCTTAAGGGCTGGGAAGCCTCAGGCCAAACAACAACTAGGTGCAAACACAGCCCCACCCATCAACAGACTCCCTAAGCCACAAACGCCTCTAGACAAGGCCCTACCCACCGGAGGGCCAGGATTAAGCTTCACCCAGCAGTGGGCAGGCACCAGCTCCTCCTGCCAGGAGACCTGCGTAAGCCTTTAGTCCAGCCTCATCTATGAGGGGGGCAGATACCAGAAATAAGAGAACAGTCCCAAAGCCTGTGGGAGGAATCCACAAACACAGGCCAGACTATGCTGAGACCAGCTGGGCCCTGGCCCTTGGGTGACAAGAGAGGAGTGTACTGCTCGGACACATAGGACGTCTCCCACAGAGGGCCACCTCTCCAAGGCTGAGAAACAAAACTAATGTACCTAAAAATACAAATAAGTAAACAATATGAGGGGGGCAGAGGAATATCTTCCAAGCAAGCCAAAGCACAAGATAAAATCTCAGAAGAAGAAATAAGTCATAAGGAGTAGGCAATTTACCCAAGAAAGAGTTTAGAATAATGATGGCGAAGATGTTCAGAGAACTCAAGGGGAGGATAGATGCACAGAGCAAAGCTTTTAACAAAGAGTTGGAAAATAAAAAGAATACCCAAACAAAATTGAAGAATAAAATTACTGGAATGAATAACACGTTAGAAGGAGCCAAGGATAGACTAAATGAGGCAGAAGAATGGATCAGTGAGCTAGAAGACAGATTAGTGGAAATTACTCCCACATGCAGAACAGAAAAAAAAAAAGAATGAAAAGAAATGAGGATAGTTTAAGAGAACTCTGAGACAATATGAAGCACACTAATATTCGCATTATAGGGGTCCCAGAAAAAGAAGAGAGAAAGGATCAGAAAAAAGTTTTGAAGGGCTAATAACTGAAAACTTCCCTAACTTGGGAAAGGAAACAATCAACCAAGTCCATGAAGCACAGAGAGATACACACAGGACCAACTCAAAGAGGAACACACCGAAGCACATAGTACTTAAATTGACAAAATTTAAGTACTATGTGTGTAAAAGCTTCTGCTTGGTTCATCTTTTCAAAGCCCTGCCAAGATGCACTTAAGGTAGTGCTCTAATAAAGGACTTCCTCCCACATTGGGGTGGGGGGGCAATTTGGTTCAGCTGTGAGTACTGCCAAGTGGGCTTCAGGTGAACTATTTGGGTCTGTTAGGTGGAGCTGGTACGCTTCTTCCCCAGCCTTCTCAAGGGCCATTCTCCTTCACCTCCTGTAAGCATCCTATTGATGACAATGTGTATGTCTGCCCATGAAGGGTGGTGAGTAGCAAAAATAGGAGTTAACGATTCTGTCATTCAGAGAGGATCTTCCCTGTAAGGAAGGTAGTGATCTTTCCAATTAAACAAGTTTGCAGTGGAGAAAGGACTATGTATCCGTAGAAAGCCAGCTGGCTGGCTGTCTGCATTTAGCCCCCCAACTGGATAATGGCATAAGGGAAACTGCCCTGCCCCAGAAGTGGCTCCCGGCCCAAATTGGTGCCCTGTTGGGTCTTAGATGGTGATAACAGACCAGGTTCCTGTGCCCCAGGAACTAACACAGGATGATCCCTATAACGGGGTGGAGGCAGTCCAACCACTTCCTGAGCCCTGGTGTGGGGAATTGGGGCTGGATATGAACAGGAGGCGGTGGAAGGGGTGGATGTATTGGCAAAACTGCCAGAGTGGTGGGGCTAGCTAGCTCAGCTGCAGGAGGTAAGGTCTGAAGCAATATATCCTCACTCTCAGTCCCTTTCTTTTTTAATTTTCCCTGATGCATTATCACAATGCTTGCACATAGGGGATTTTATCATTATTCCCTGCTTTTTCACAGAATAGCTCTAATTGCAGGATTGTATAGAGACATTCAAAGGCCACCGTTCCTCAGCATTTTACTGCAAAACCATAAATAGCAACTGATCCTCTCTAACCATTTTGCCTTGGCATCAACCAACCATGCTGAATTCTGGGCTGGGGCTTTTGATGATTTTAGGAACCAAGTGGGATCTCTCTCCTCTCTCTGGGAATGTCCCACTCTTGGACAGCAATTTTTTTTTCCTGTTCTTTTCCTCCATTTGATATCAGTAAAAGTTTTAAATACCACAAAACTGATTTGGCTATAAATGGAGAAGAGATACCAAAACAAAATGAAAGGAAAAAACCCGAAAGGACGAACAGAAAACCCTAAATAAATCAAAGCTTGGTTTGCGGGTTTTACACATACCAACGACACAGGAGACCACAAGCAGAGCAAAGGTGGCCGTACATGGTATGCGGAGTCCTCAGGTAACCCTACACAAACGCCTTGTGGCGATCCCAACAAGTGCTATGCACACATTTTTCATATTCCTCTTAATCGTGGGTTCATAGCTGTAATCAGGCCACTTATCCAAAATACCCCTCAGTGGACCTTCTTTAGGGGTAGTTAAAACATTCCCCAGTTTTTAAAGACAGAAGTACAAGACAAAACACAAGAGGCACCCACAAAAGCTAGTATCCAGAGAAATAAGCTGGTTCACAAATCAGGTAAAAGTCCAGCGAGTATTTCCTCTCTCCAACAGGGTACCCGCTCAAATGCAAACCAAACTGGCTTATTCTGGAGAACAAAAAAGCCCCAAATGGAGAGGAATAGAGTTTCCGGCTGTAAACGTAGGAGTGACTTACCTTACTGCACTGAGCCCATTGGTTCCCAGACGCCAATTCCTTGCTCCAACCGCCCAGCACTGGGGCAGCCAGTGCCGCTTCGGGGAATTTTGAAGGGAACATCCTTAGGACAAGTAATCCCGGCCGCTGCTAGGGACTTTCCCCCAAATTTACCAACTGGGGCCAGCTGGCCATGAGCAGCAAGGTTCCTGGCTGATCTACCAAAATTTGTTACCGAGTCCAACCTCATACTACTCATTGCATGACAGGCCAATAAATTGAGATGAGCTGTTGGGGCAAGGAAAAATGACTTTATTTGGAAAGCCAGCAGAATGAGAAGATGGAGAACTAGTGTCCCAAAGAACCGTCTTCCCTGAGTTAGAACTCAGGCTTCTTTCACACTAAAAGAGGAGGGGGTAAAATCCTGCTTCCAGCCAGACTCCAGAGAGGCTGTGTTAATTTCTTCCAGCCTGCAGCCCTTCACAGGCGGGCCTGGCCAGGCTGTTTCCTATGAGTT